TCCTAAAACAAGACTTTGTTTTTGACAAAACTTGTGTACACACATATACACACATAAACTTATTTGTGAGCACACCTGCATACCTCTGCACTTGTGTGTGTGTGCATGTATGTGTGTGTGTGTGTGTGTGTGTGTGTGATGTACACACAAACCCATATATGGGGGTTTGTGGTTTATAGCTAGGACCCCAATTAAAGATGGAAAGCTATTAAATAAAACTTAGCTGGATATTTCTTAAAAGCTTTCAGGGAAAAATAATTGCCTAATCAACTTACTGAAGAAAAGATATGATTATTAATGAATAAAACTATAAGCATGTTCATTCTGAAACCCTCTTTTGCATAATAGAGAATATGCCAAAAATGGTATCTCATTTTCACTTCTCAAAATTAGGTAGATCAGATAAACCATTTGTTTTGCTCTGGAATATTTAGCTCTTTAATGGTAAAAATCTAATCTGTATTTTTAAAATCATTTGCATTTCTCCAAGCATTGACCTATTTTATAGTGCTTGTCATCATGTACTTTGCTGTACAACATTTTATACTAGAAATGATAAATTGCCAGAAAGTATGCACAATTGTATAATGCTATCATATTCTGTTCTGACTACTAAAATTCAAATTCAGAAATCTCATTATGCTTCACATATAGATTGAATCATGTCAGCCTTTTAAGTTTTAAATTATTTAATTTTCTTAAAGGAAAAAAAAAATCCATCCATTTTGTATAGCCCAGGGGACTAGAAAATCATAAGCATTTCTATCTATAAATAACTTAGACTGTATTTGAAATTTAAATTTATAATCATAATTACTATTCAAGCCATTTTCACAGATTACAGAAGAGTATTCCCTTCACGACTTCCAAAAAAAATCATATTGAAAATTACCTTCCTTTGGAATGGACTTCAGTTAACATTTAGTTGTCTGACTAATATTCTTCTGATTTCTGATACAACATATTTTCTTTACTGAGATGGAAATATGCCAATATTTTCAGTTTCTCTGAACGTGCTTTCAAGACATCCTAATATCCCATGGCTAATTTCTTCCATTTGTTTCACTGATAATGGGGATTTAACTAAAGTACCCATAGTTTGATTTTTGTATTTTTCTTTCTTTCACCCCTTGGTTCAGAAATGGAAACCGATGTTCCATATTCAGCTCAGGGAAAAATCTTTGAGTTTCATTTTCCCCCGGGTGGGGAATTCACAAGTCAGTATCATTTACTATTTGTGTTGTTGGGGTTATGTAGAGGGTTATGAAAATCAGCCATAATATGGCTGGGGTTATGAAATCAGCCATAATATCTGCCTTGCTAAAATGTTAACACAGAGGCTGCTGGGGGTGACAGAGGGTTTAGGAAAAGGGTGTAAGCCTTTGGAACACCAAGCCTTGTGTGATCACTCGATAATTGGAATGTCATGGGGAGTTACCTTCCCCTAACCTTTCTTAGCTCAGACTGCTGGCTGCCCTGTGATCTAAGAGATATATGCACTGTCCCTTAGACTCTGTTTAGTAGAACACGCAATTAGCATACCGTATCTTTTTTTTTTTTAAAGATTTTATTTATTTATTTGACAGAGAGAAACACAGCTAGAGAGGGAACACAGCAGGGGGAGTGCGAGAAGGAGAAGTAGGCTTCTCACCCAATAGGGAGCCTGGTGTGGGGCTCAATTAGCATACCGTATCTTTTTTTTTTTTTTAAAGATTTTATTTATTTATTTGACAGAGAGAAACACAGCTAGAGAGGGAACACAGCAGGGGGAGTGCGAGAAGGAGAAGTAGGCTTCTCACCCAATAGGGAGCCTGGTGTGGGGCTCAATCCCAGAACCCTGGGATCATGACCTGAGCTGAAGACAGATGCTTAAGGACTAAGCCATCCAGGTACCCCAAGCATTGTATCTTTCCTGTAAATAGATCCTCCCAGTTTCAGTAAAACCCCAGGTCAACATCCCCTGCTTGAGAAACAATGATAAGGATTTGTGATTATCCTGAAGGACCAATAAAAGCAAGTGAAGAGCAAAGTGTCTTCATTTCTGAGTGAAGACCTCCTTGCTTTCTTCTCTCCTTTCACAGCAAAGTTTGCTTAGTAATCTTTCATCTGTTGGTACAGGCATTGCTGGCCATTCCTGGCATTGTGTCAAAACTGAGAAGATGCAATAGATTGTATGCACATTAAACTACTGGATGACTAGCTGATGACTGATAAAAAAACAGATACCATACATTGCAGAGTAATTCAGCGGGATAAAAAAAAAAATCAAATCTTTATCCATAGCTGGACTTCAGAGGAATAAAAACAAATTTTCCAGGTAAACAACTAGATAGACATAAACTATGTCACACATCTTTTGGAAATCATATATATTTACTATCTGAAAGGGGCTTTAGAAATCTTCTACTTCAATATGATAGTTGTTTTTGAGGTAAGTAAGTTGAGACTCAGAGACGTAACTATTCTTTCAAGTTAAAGTCTAAATTTGGTTACATTTTAGCTGCATGGCCATAAATGAGTCATTTACTCATCTAAGAATGCATATTAATTATTAAGAATGTCAGAATGGACTTATTCCAATATTTATAATATTGAGGAATCAGGATTACAAAAAGATTTAGGAAGCAAATAACTGCCCTCATCTGTATAGTCTTAAGTTTTGTTTTATTTTGTTTGCAATGCCTTGATTGGAACTTCTATGGAATGCTGAGTGGCTAAGAACATGGTCGTAAAACTCATGGCTCAGAGGTTCCAATCTTATAATCTTGACATTTGATTAGCTATGATGGAGTCTTAGAAACTGCACCCTAGTGTTACCCACTTTCTTCCTAATGAATCCTGTCTTTCATGAGTAAGTCTGAAAAGAGACAGAAAAACAAAGTCTAGAAGATATAACATATGTAATCATTACAATTACCTTGGCTAATTGAATTTAAATTAAAAAAAAAGACAAAATGAAGTTTCATATCCTATTAGCAAAAGACTAATCTAGTAGCTTTGCCATCATTTACAAAAGATTCTATACCACAGTTATAAAATTAAAAATTAAAATATATAAGGGGAAGCCTGGGTGACTCAGTCAGTTAAGCTTCTGCCTTGGGGTCTCAAGTCACGATCACAGAGTCCTGGCTCCCTGCTCAGTGGGAAGTCTCCTTCTCCTTCTCTCTCTCTCTCCCCTTTCCCCATCTCATGCTCGCTCTCTCTCAAAAAACAAACAAACAAAAATTAAAAAAAAAAAGAGATATATACAGGTAAATATATATAATACAAATAAAACATACACATTTATATATTTCTATGTACAAGAATAAAAACAGTTATCTAACTGTAAGCAAATTTGGCTTTGGGTTTAAAATAAACTTTTTTCACTAGAAGATACTGGTTATATATTAATTATTAATCTCCCCAGATAAAACTAAAATAATTATCCAGTACTTTTCACTGAAAAATTTCTACCAAATGAAAGATGTATTTTTAGAAAATAAAATTCAGAGAAAATTAAGTTGTAAATAATTTTCATGTAATTATATGCATCTTAGAGAAGAACATCTTGTCAATCACCAGCACTATCGTCGGCATCATCAGAAGCATCATTGTGGTCATCACCCCATTAATAGCAAGCCTCTAGAGGCACTTGTCATGTGCCAGGGGCTGTAAACATAGTTAACAGTTCCTGTATATTTATACACACAAGATTAAAAACCCAGGCAAGGTAACTCCATAGTACATACTCTTCAAAACTTCATTAATAACAGTTACCTTAGGAACAAAGTGTTTGCAAAGCAGACTTGTGTTCCACAGGTAATGAAAGCTAAAGCTAGCCAAGACTGAACCAGCTTTCTAGTCTGATAGCAAGTGAGTAAGTGAAGGAAGGCAGAGGGATCTACTAAATTTTATGGCTCTCTCCTAGAACTGTTCTTTATGTAACTTAAAGGTATTGTGTAATGCTCACTGTGTTTGGCAGGGGACGACTTGAAGAAATAGGTCTGATATATATATATATATATATATATTTTTTTTTTTTTGGCTCACAGTGAATTTGATCTAACCTGAATTAGAAAGGTAATATAACTTCATTAAAACCAGAGTACAGCTATCTACCTGATAAAAATGTGTTCCAGATTTCTATCAAATGGTATTCATGCAGTTCAAATCTTTATGGGCGATACTACCACAAAGGATAGTAAGTACTTCCAGATAGGTTCCTCTGATTCTTTTCAAATACAAAGATTCAATTATATCCTACTGTGACAGCACTTGACTTTTTGGTTGTATGGGAATGGGCCAGGCCTCATAAAAATAAGTATTTATCTGTCATTTTTCTCCCCTGTTACCTCAAAATACAAAATACACAATAATTTACATGCCCTAAAAAAAAAAAAAAAAAAAAGTAGTCTACAACCACAAATCTAAACAAATGCTCTAGTTTATTTTTCTCAAAAGGAATAACCATGGTAATCAACATGTCCATCATACACCAGCAAATAATATCACTCTGTTTTGGATGTTCCCTGAAATATAGTTATCAGGAGTCAGAAGAAATGGTTACACAATTGAGTTGATCTCTTGCCCTAGAAGAGTGGTGTATTTCCGATATTGTTCAAAATGAAATAATATTCCCTGCATATTTTAAGTTTATTTTCTAACATGAAAACAAAGTAATGATTCCCAACCTCATTTCATAGTGAAAAAAACTCACATTATATAATGTTAAATAATATAAAACATAAAATGTACTAGAAATATTAGGTATTATTCATTACCATTCTTACATAGCTAAAGCAAAGGTACTTAAAGAAAAACATAATATCATGCAATTAAATTATATGCAGCTGTGAGAATAAAGTAGGGAAATTCTTGATTTCTGTTTAGGTAGATTATTGGGAGAAATAACTGTACATATTAATTACCTCCTATAATCAGATATTGTGATTGATAGATAAAAAAAATAGGGAGGTGGAAAAGTATGAGCCTTCAAATAGTCAATGTTATTTACTTACAATCAAGCCACTGTTTGCTTGCCTTTTTTCTCTGCCATGGATCCTTTTGTAGAAAATTCCGCCTGGATTAAACTGAGTACTCCAAATAATCATATCTCTTTGATAATATACATCCATCCCTGTTATCCTTGAATTATGTTCAATATGAGAAATTTGTTGATGATCGCCACTGTAGTTGAATGGATATATAAAACCCAGGATATCAGTGTCATTAGCAATGTAGAGAACTTGATCTTCAGAGCCTGGAGATTATTATAATAAAATACAAAAATAAAGTAAATTTCAACTAATGTAAAAGCAATAATTGTACTTTTAAATTATCTTGAATTATTATTCTTAACAGTTTCTTGTTCAATAAAAATCAACCAACTTTGTACCATACTATAGTCTCCGTGACTTATTTCTAAAACACACTTACCTAAACTTAATGAGAGTTATTGATGTAGGTTTTCCCAAGACACAGCTTACCTTATGGCTAGGAATCAGGTATTTGTGCTAGATATTCTTTTCATAAAGAGGGATTTCTATTTGATAAATTGCAATACATTATGTTCTAATGCTTTGATCCTCAATATTCAGATGTTATGTTTGTGTACTCATTAAGCCTCAAACATTCCTGACCATTTAGTTTATGCATCCAATTCATCATTTTCTTAGGTTAAGAAATGAAAATTAAGAGGGGGAGAGTCTTCTTCTAATATTCATATATCTCAAATATTCTTCTAATTTTATTATAAAAATATATCAGGATTTACTAGATTTAAATATCATGTCAATATTATTTAGGATCTTGCTAGCGGATCCCTGTAATCTGAAGTTTTGACACCTACAATAAAATACTAATGTCATTTGTATATTGAGACAAGTAAAACCCTAAAGTGAATTGTTAATATATTAAATAAATTATTAATGAGACCATGACGATTGAATTATATATACACTATCTGCAAATTAGAAAAAATAGACTATGAATTCTAGTTCAGCCCTATGGGTTTAATGGTTCTCACTTGGTTATGTTTATCTACTCTATGGCAGGCACTATTCTACAACTTTCATAATTTATCTCCTCCACTTATAGGAAGTAGAGATTCATATTTCCATTTTACAGATGAAGAACTGAGACTCAAAGAGTTTCATAACTTCCCCAAGGCTACAGATCATAAAGGCATAATGCTAGGATTCAAATTCAAGTACATTTACCTCTCTAGCCCATCCTTAATCCACTACATCATGTTGTTTTCCACCTGTAATAACTGTTTTATTAACAATGTCCAATCATGTCCCGTAACTTAATAATATTTGTTATAATATTATTTAGTAAAAACCAGAGCACAAAAATTCATAACCAAAAAAGTCCCAAATACCTGTTTAAGTTTTAAAAATGATATTTCTAAGTAAAGGAGGTCTGAATTAAAGCATGATTTTATTTCAAAACCTTTTAAATTCTTACTCAAAATTCCATTCTCCTTATAGTGCTAACCTTTAACCCTTTAAACTGTTATTTTTATCCATTATATAATAATATTTTTCATATACACTGAGAGCAGGCCATAAAGAGAGATGCTTCATATTCTATCACGTTGGCTTGTAAACTTTTCCCTTCTTCTGACAGATTTTTCAAACATGAAAGTGGTTTTAACAATAACCACATATTTGATAATCATGTCTATAAATCATCCCAGATTAGATTAAGAATGACAACAAACCAATTTCGCAAATTAGCCAATATTAAAAAGAGATTTTGTTATATTTTCAGGCATGGAGCTATTGCTAAAATATAATATGAAACATTGTTTTCCCCATAAGATATTTATAGCAGTTATAATAGAATTTGAAATAACTGTTATAACCTTACCTTTTGCTATGCAGGTGTTATTCTTTTCCTGAAAATTCTGGTCACACACACATTTATATGACCCTTCCATATTGATACATTGGTGGGAACATGTGCCAAACACCAAACATTCATTAAGATCTAGAAGAGAAGAGCTCCAAATAGCATCATCATACCTCCAATTTCCGTTTCTGTTCTTTCCACATTTAAAAAAAGACAAATTTACTTTTCTTCCTTCAACTTATTTCTATTTCTTTTATTGTCCTTCTAAAACTCTCAAGTATATGATTTGCTATGTCATATTTTCTGGCCGTAACAATTTTTACAATAGTTTCACTGTAATAATTCATCAATTGTTTGTACGTTGCTTTTTAATACACTTAACACATTGAAAGAGCCCTTTCAAACTTCCCTAGTATTTTCATTCATTCAAATGCTTCTTGAGGTTTCCTTTTGAGACTGTTTCTGATTACCTACCTCCATACATTTGTACATATCATATACGGTCCTATAAGCCCCTTGCCCACCTTGACCTAAAGAATTTTTATTCATCTCTTAAGATCCACATGCATAAAACATTTCTTGTTCTCCACCAACGTACATCCATCCCACAGTTTCTCCACTATTTACTATCTGGGTGTTTCTCTCTTAGAACACTCTATGTACTATATATTATATATGTAGTCATATATTCATACCCCCTACTTGACTGTCAGCCCCTGGAGGGCATTAATTATTATTAATTTTTTTGTCTGTGTGTTACACAATTCCTGGCCAAAAAATGAAGATACAGATACAACTGTAACACACTTCTGGCTTCCTATACACAAAGAAACAATGTTACAAGAAGGGCTATGTGAAATAAACAAACAAAAGCAACAAAACCCTGAATGTCTACAAATAAATGGATACATGTGCATTATAAGTAATAAATAAATAAATCACAGGCAATATTCTGTTGTTTAGCACATGCCTCTAATTTTAATGGCTTATGCAGAGCCAGCAATGATGTCAGGTGACTCTAGTGAATTACTACTTTCTCTCTCTATTTTCAGTCAGCTTAATTCTTCTGCTTTTTTTTCATGTCACCCTAATTATGTAATAAATCTGTGAGATAATTCCTTCTTTTGAATTAGAAAATTTAAGAATAAGCACAGCAATAATAATTATCTTTCATTTAGCTCTCAACTGTGTTCCGAAGCCTTAGTGGTAGAGATCAGGACTTTCCCAGGGACACTTGCAATGACAGGGGCGAGGCTCAAACACAGGCTTTCTGATTCCTTTGTGTCTACTATGATACTTTGCCCAAGGTGAACTTAGGCATTCATGACAATTTATTTCTGTGTTTCATTGAAATATAGGACAAAGAGATAAAGAAAGCTGTATTGTTAGTGAATACCATACCAGGGACAAAGCAAAATACATTTTATTGGCACCTGGCCATCAAAAAAGTATTACAATAAATACATTTGACTGTTTGACATCTGTAACTTTGAACAGCATGTTATTTGATCTTTCATTTCCCTTTGATATGGAGTCAAAATAAGCAAAAATCTACATGATTTGATAAAAATTTTGGGCCCCTCACATGGCCTTATATTGGCCAGAATCACCATTTTCTCTTCATCTCTATACTAATGCCAGGGGGTCCAGCTCACTCAGTTTGTAGAGTATGTGAGTCTTGATCTCAGGGTTGGGTATTTAAGTCCCACGTTGGGAAGAGAGATTACTTAAAAGTACACACACACACACATACACACACACACACACACACACACTAATGTTGATACTGTGAGATTTCGTAAGGGGTGGAAGAATCTCACACATGTCCAAGACATAGAACAGTGCCCGACACACAGCAACTGTTAATCCATTGTACTTCTCTGCTGTTTTCTATAATTTGTCTTCTCTTTACATATTCTAATTAAAACATATTGGCTCTAACATCACATAGTAATTTCTTAGTCTCTTTTTGAGTTATATATAGGGAAAGCACAAACGCATTTCAATTTTTTGAATTATGAATCAAAGTCATGTCTTTCCCTTCCTCCGTACCAAATCAAATTGCTTTTCCTTGCTATCAAAGCTTCCTTTAATAAGGATACAAATTTTATTGGAGTGCAGAAGTTACTAATTTACGCAAAAAGAATACTGGATTTGTAGCAACTTAAAATGAAGACAGAAGTTGCAGCTTTTATTTGACATAGAACAATTAAAAATACAGAAAATTTTGAGAATTTTGAGTTTTAAATATTAAGTTTATAAGGAAATTCAGCCCATTATTCATAAATAAATGTTAGTAAATTAATGATATTGAAATTAAAATTTCGAAGAGGTTGTGTGTATGCATGTGTGTGTTTATATATAATTGATAGGAAGTTTCTGGGGAAGAAAGAAATAATATAGCCTTGAGAAATAATTTACTTCTTAAATTAAAATAGAGAAAACCTAAGGGTTCTTGGGTGGCTCAGTAGGTTGAGCATCTGATTCTTGATTTTGGCTCAGGTCATGATCTCAGGGTCCTGAGGTTGGGCTCCATGCTCAGCAGGGAGTCTGCTTAAGATTCTCTCTATCCGGGGCACCTGGGTGGCTCAGTGGGTTGGGCCGCTGCCTTCGGCTCAGGTCATGATCTCAGGGTCCTGGGATCGAGCCCCGCATCGGGCTCTCTGCTCTCTAGGGGAGCCTGCTTCCTCCTCTCTCTCTGCCTGCCTCTCTGACTGCTTGTGATCTCTCTGTCAAATAAATAAATAAAATCTTTAAAAAAAAAAAAAAAAAAAAAAAGATTCTATCCTTCTCCCTGTGCCCCTCCCCCTGCTCGCTCTCTCTAAAATAAATAAATAAATCTTTAAAAAATATATTTAAAAATATAGAGAAGGCTGTTAGTTTTCAGTGCTCCATATTAATGGAGAAATAAAATGACATAGGTAATTCAAACAAGTATATAATTCAAAATATACGTAAATATTGACATGGCCATACTTCTTTCCCTTTTGGGTGGATATAATTAATTCATTTCAATAATCTCATTTTGATTGACACAAAGCAAAAATCATTTTTCTCTATCCAAGAATAACATGGACAGTAGAGAAGGCAGCTGGTGGGTGAAAGCATTTTACAACTTGAATTTACAGTAGATAAGCCAGCCTTAAACAATTTAGGCTTGGCTCTAATCACAATAACATGAATTTTAATGGAGAAACTGTCAGTAAGTACATATAAGTCTGTATTTCATGGCTCTCTCATTAAAGCTTCGATGTATATTATATTTACCTATAATTTACTATGAGATCCTGGCTATCCTATCATGCTCAATTTTTAGATGATCTCAAGTAAGTTGATAGAGATTTCTTTAGATCCTGTCTTTGAATTTTAGAAGGCATTCTTGATAATATAAAGCACTGTTTGAGACATGGTGATAGGACAAAAGCCCACAGTTCTCTCAAAGTGAATTACCTATTGCAGTACCGCAAATGCCACACCTCGAGAGAGATGGGTCATCATAAACATGTTCTTTCATGAAATGTCTCTAATTCTCCAATAGTTCCTGAACCAGCAATTTTTTTGATTTGCATTTCAAAACAGAGTTGTAACAGTACAATTGAAATTCCTGCAGGTCTGAATCTGCTATAGAAAAGGCTTTGTAGTCTCAGAGATGGTTAGCTTAGCCATACAAACAGGCTTTTGACCCCAGGGACTTTCACTCTTGTAGGTAAAACGGTATCCCGTAGATACACACCAATCTGATGAAAATCAATCCCATGTCATCTCACAATTTAACAGCCTTGTGAGTCTTTTATAACCTAAAGATTTAAGAGCAAGCTGTTGAGGAAATGTACTATACCTTCACACTGTCTGTTTTTCATGTTTCTCTGAAATCCAGGCTTACAGCGACAAAAAACAGATGTCTTTATTTGATTACAATATGCATCATCTCCACATGGATTCACATTATCTTCACAGGTATATTCAGCGGGAGCTAGGATTTAAAAATACCATCAAAACTAATATAATTCTAATTCCTGAAGTGGGAGTTTACCTTTTTTCTTAACTTGAAATTATATTTATTATTCCACAGATAAGTATTTTTGAATTTATAAGATTATGACCTTCTTTCTGTCTAAGTCATGATTTCTTATAAAAGTATAGAAGCAGATAAAAATCTGAGCCCATTTACACTGAATATAGTTTCAGACCAAACTGCCAATAGCTGATATTTACAGCTGTTGAAGTACACTACTTGTGGAAGGAATTCGAGAGTCAATGTTTCTAATGACAGGTTATCATTACAATGGTACGATGTATGAGTACTATATCCTTCTCTAGGAAACAAAAGGTTTCCTAGAAGCTCCCAGAGATGTGGGCATTAATTGCTAACCTAAATTTAGTATTCAGGAATTCAATCAAGGGTACTACCATGTTACTCAAACAAGTAGGCTAAATCATCAGTTCTTAAACTTTTTTAGCCTGAAAATATATAGGAGGAGCAGTATGCTCCAGTGGTCAAGGGCTGTTACACAAGTTACAACAGACTATGTGTTATTTGCCATTCCCAGCATAGTAATTACAATTTCATAGCTTTATTTCTCATTCCAGAAAACATTTTAGAATGCAAATAAATGAGAGGGATATTATTGTAAAATAGATGTTGAATTATCTGTTTTTTACTTACATATATCAAATTATTTTGAAATATGACAACTTAATCGAATTATAATGGTTATTAATCCCCACCGACTCTTGAATATTTTACAATTAATTAAAGTACACCAGTGGAATTTCACCTCAGTCTTGAGGTATATGTGGCCATATTGTGGGAGGTAATGCTTCATCAACCCAGAGAGGAACAACTTAGATGCATAAAAAGTGAAAGACCCCATAATAGGAAGGATTTTATGACTTTTATAAGCAATCTGAATTAGAGTCATAAGTTTGGTTATTTTTCTTAATATGAAAAATGAGATATCAAACACTAAACATGAAAATAACCAAGCCCTAGGGGCGCCTGGGTGGCTCAGTGGGTTAAGCCGCTGCCTTCGGCTCAGGTCATGATCTCAGGGTCCTGGGATCGAGTCCCGCATCAGGCTCTCTGCTCAGCAGGGAGCCTGCTTCCCTCTCTCTCTCTCTCTCTCTCTCTCTCTGCGCCTGCCTCTCCGTCTACTTGTGATCTCTCTCTCTGTCAAATAAATAAATAAAATCTTAAAAAAAAAAAAAACAAGCCCTAATAACTCAAATAGCATCACACTCCAACTAAATTAAACAATGATGTCTTCTTTAAGAATAACTCAGCAATGGATTAAAATCTTAAAACACTGAATAAATTACTAAGACCTTTATTATTTTTCAACTAAATAGCATTGTTTATAAGAAAAAATAGTAAATTTATATTTTATGAAATAAAATATTAAGGGACATAGATATCCTTGCTGATAACAAAGTCTGCAATTGGATATTGAGATCTCAGATTCAGGTCTAACAAGGGTACTCACTGTGAAAACGACCTTTCCCACCTCATACTTTCTGATATTAATTTAAGTGGCATTCTAAGGTTGCATTGGTAAGGGCTTACCAAAAAGAAAGTATACTTAGGTATATTTGTGAAGAATGATATTTTCTCACACCAGTAGAGAAAATTTTAGTCATGTTGAAGGAGAATTGAACTTGCATGTTGCTACACTTTAACAGAAACTAAACTTACTTATTCTGCAGCCTTGCTCATCTGAACCATCTCCACAGTCATCAAGTTGGTCACACTGGAAGTCCATGGGGATACATTTTTTATTGCTGCAAGTAAACTCATCTTTTTTACACGGTCTTGCTTTATATGTAAGCTTACCTATAGAGTCATTAAAAAATGATTAGTACTTCACAGAATCAAAACAAATTTACTGAGTTCATTAACACATTCAAGATTTTATTTAAACACTATGAAAAACGTGGCTCCGCAATCCTTTATTTGAAGCTCTTGGCCAAATGAAAAAAGTTTGGAAATTCTGGACTTTTAGAGGAATAACATTGTATTTACCCTGTAATAAGTAACACTACATTTCCACCGGAAAATGTCTGAATATTCATCCTAAGTGAGACCTTGTTCTTAAAGTAATAAAAACTGCTTCAGACCAGTTCAGGTCAGGGTTTGTCATCAGATGATTTTGCCACACGCATTAGTAAAGCCTTGGTTTTAAAAGTTTTTTTTTTTAAATTTCATAATTGTGAAGAAGGAATTGTGTATACAGACATAAACTCCTTACTAACACTCTCCCCTCAAGGAGCTGTTTAACAGAGAACATTTTTAAACCACTGTTTTTTCTCTCATACAGTATTTTCAGAAATAAACTGTGTATCATCAGTGGAGATTTACAGACTAGTAGAGAGTTTGGATAAAGCTGCACAGCTCTACTATTCAAATGAATGTTAGCAGATTATTTTTCATACTTTGTCAGAAGATCAAGTGTCTGAAAAAAATACCCTCAGACATGCTACATGGAAAATACTTCTTTGCAATTTTTTTGAGCCCCAAAACCATTGTATTATCTTGTAGCTGTCACTAAATCAATTATTTCACATTAAACGGATTTACCACCACAGTGATCTTCATCGGAGTTGTCCCCACAGTCATCAATCCCATTGCACATTTGCTCAGGCTGCAGGCATATTCTGTTATTTCTGCATCTGTAAGGTCTTGTGGGTGGGCAAAGAAATTTGGCTGAAAAAAAAAAAAAAAAGGAAAGAAAAAAATCAAAGCCGCTCCTTTGGGTACACTGACTTATGAGGAACGATCCCCTTCCTTTTTTTTTTTTTTTTTTTGGTCTTCCTTTCTTTGTTTTGTTTCATTTTATTTTGCTTTTTGCTTTTGTTTTTGTTTTATTTTGTTTCCTTCTTTTCAAATCCATAATCTGGCTTTTCTGAATACCTTTTGTTGTGGAAATTGCCTTCATGTAGGTACTAGAAACTGTGTGGAAATAGAAGCTATGATCTTGGTTATTTATATTAACTACAGAAAAGAGTGCACAGCTGAAATGAAATGAAGTAAGAAAAAGAGCCAAACTTCATGGTCTCATTTCCAGATGCCTTATCTTAGCTGACTTCACTTGGTGTACCAAATTAATTTATGCCTACAGTTTATACAACATGGCAGGACACTTAGCTATTTAAAAGAGCAATTTCACACAGAATAGAGCTTGAGGAAGCATATGTTATAGGTCCAAATTTGAAAATAGGTCACCCGGTGAAAAAAAAAAAGTCCCAACAATACTATAACTGTTTTTCTTACTCTGTATCTCTGTAAACAAATGTATAAATATATATTTGAGTCACATAGGTGATCTTTGTTATTTATGTTTAATTTTTGTGGGTATATGTAGCTTTGGGGGGGCAGCGGTGTGTGTGACTTAAAATGACAACAGTGAAAGCCAGAGAATTTTATCCTTGTCCCTTCTATCATTATCTAATCTGAAGACTTCTACCCCTAAAGGAGGAAACCTCTCTCATGACACTTTATCTTTACATGTGGAATACTCCAGGTGTTTTCATTGGTTTCTTGATCTTTTCATTCTTGAACTCTTTGCTGATATTCTCATTTATTCTCATTTACTTGACACTATACCCTTAAAACTTTCAATTCACTATCTAATTCTAGCATCTTACAATTGATTATAGGATATCCCCTCAGGAATTTCAAATTCAGTAAGTTCAGAACTCCATTCTTCATCACCTCCCTGTGACTACTTTTTCCCCAAACATAAGCTTTGTGTTATTTCCATGGTTCAGTTAGTAGCACACCAGAGCTGCAAGTCTGGGGTTATTCTAAATGCATTTCTCTTTTGACCTTCAGCTCTTACTAGTCAACAAATCCGGTTGATACTATCCCCAAATTTGCCTTCTTCTCTCCATACATATCAGTTACAACAGTTCAGCTCTGCACTATCTCTTACAGAGAAAACTGCAGTAGAATCCTAAATATCTCTATTTCATTGCCCAACCTAAAATCTTCCACAAAGCACCATAACAACCCACCTTAGATATTAATCTGATCATCTCTTCCATAGTTACCCAGCATTTTCAGAATAAAATTTAAGATACTTCACATGCCATAATGGACTGATCACTACTTTGTCCATGCTACTTTTACAGACAAATCCCTTGTCACTCTTAATATTCTAGCAATACTACTTTATTAGCTTCTTAAATATACCATACTCCTTCTTGCCTGACCTCCATGGTTTAATTGAAATCTGGTTCCCACTCCAAGCATAGGTCCTCTTCTTCAGATCTTTTAGGAATATCTCTTAAATTTCTCAAGCCTCATGTTATATTTAAATACCCCTTAATTTCCTACTTTAGCTTTCAGAACTTTGTTACTATATCTTCACATTCAATTTTTAAAAATAAACTGAAAAAAAACCTATTATTTTGATAGCCAGTCATTTGATTAAATATCTTCCTTATTGCTATTTTCTCATTAGCCTTATAAACATCATTCCTCTCCCCAGTTTACTAATGACTGTAGCATCATACTTCATCATTATTGCTCTCTGTCCAAACTCATTTAAACATCCTAGATGACTTTAATATCTACATGAACAAACCAACCAATATCTGTACCTCTTAGCTCCTTGAGTTTTTCATACCCAGTAGCATTTTACTTCTAATTCACCTAAGCCAGTAAGTATCCTAGAAGGTTGTGAAGATTGGTAGATTCCAATATATTTCTCTTCTTAATTTAGCCAATGACATTTCGTGTTGCTTGCAGGTAAGAATATTAATTGATCTACATGAGTGCAGCTGGATATACTGTTTCCTCCAATGGCTTCATTTACAAAGTCACTAATCTGAATGCTACAAACTCTGACCAGCATTTCTTACTTTCCCAAATTTTAATTCAACCAGTCTCATTAAACCTTTTTTCTGTCTTAGGTGAAACTTTAGTCCATTGATAGATCTACCTTTTCCTATTCTCCAGTGTTTTTGTCTTTAGTTACCTCGGCATTGATATAAGATCCCATTCTCCATCTTTCAGTTTACTCAGTTGACAAATATTTATTGGTAACTTATTATATGTTCTAAAAATTCATTTAGAAACTCACTTTAGTACAAATAATCTGGATTATCTGACTCTTTTCTCTTTTTCATTTAGTTATCTAACAAAACCCTAAGCTTAGATGAATAAAACCATCTGCTATTCCAATGTCTGCATTCTGGGAAGACCAGGAACATTGCAGATGATCATGCCACAAGACCAAGTGACATCACAAATATGAATATTTATTAATACCAGATGGGCCCTAAATATTACTTGGAAATCATATATATCTGTATCTACATAGATATAAATACAGATATACATGTATATATAGATAGATAGATATGGATATAAATACAGATAGAGATAGCATGTTAGTCTCTTACCCTTTGCAATAACAATTTAAATCTGTATTCCTTTCAAATTTTCTAAAATAACAACCTTCCATATTCTATATATGAATATACTTCCTACTGCATATATAAAAATGAAATAAAATGATGGTGAATTTGTTATCACTTCATTATATAATTGGACATCCACCTCCATTTATAGATAATCTATCAATTCATGTCAGTATTTTTAATAACAGAGAAGGGGTGACTACTCTTTCTAAAACTAAGTTTTCATCTGCTCTGAAGCCAATTTTTTCCTGCCCTTTCAGGAACCACTCCATCTTTCTTGATACATTTCATTACCTTGGTATTTCTTTTGCCATACCTTTTTTTTTTTTTTTCCTTCAAATCATTTTGTGGTAACTCACCTGAGTCTCTTCCAGCTGCTTATATTTATGTAGAAGTTTGGTGGCACTCAGTATTCTATCCTAAATTCCTTCTTCTCTTATGCCTTACTCCTACCCAGCCTAAATCTTAAAAAGTCCATAGTATTCATTATCCCATTTTATTCTGACTCTCAAATTTATAACTTTAGTCCAGCTTTTTAAGCTTTAGAATCAAGTATCTAGAGCCTACCTGGAATCTACACTTGAATGTCTCCTCAAATGTATCTCAAACCAGGCATTTAATCTTTACTTGCAATACTGTTCCTCTTCCTATATTCCCCATGTATTCAACTGAACAAGCACAAACCCCCTATAAATTATACTTAGTAACTTCCTCTTCCTTGACTTATCTATCTAATCTATTATTTAATCCTATTTTATTTTGCTTTTCAAATTACCTCCAAGTATATTTGCCATCATGTGTTATCATTATCTTAACCCGAGCTAGTAGCATGGCTTGCTTAGAGTACAACAATTATCTTACCTAGCCTTGCCCCTTTCTCTCCAATATATGTAATATATATATATATGACTATATGCCTGTTGTACTTAGAACTTAGAACTTAAAACAATTCTTAAAATTTTTATTTATTTATTTATTTATAGAGAGGGAGAGAGAAAGACAGAGAGAGAGGTCAGGGGGAGGAGCAAAGAGAGAAGGAGAGAGAGAATCTTAAGTAGGCTCCATGCCCATCTCAGAGACCAACCCAGGGCTTGATCTCAGAATCTTGAAATCACTACATGAGCCAAAATCAAGAGTCGATGCCACCCAGGTGCCCCCAAACCATTTAGTATTCTTAATTACTTTTAGGCTAAATCCAAAATTCCCCATGAAGACTTACAAGATTCCAGACTCTTCCATCTCTTCAGTTTCATCCTAAACCAGTATCTACCTTGACCTGTACTCTCCAAGCACAGGGATCTTTCAGTTACTCCAATAAGTTATGGTTCACTCTGCCTCAGGGTTGTCTACATTTTCCTTTGCCTACAACATCATGTCATCCACCTTATCTCCAGCCCATCACTTTCACCTGCTTAGCGGTGATATATCTCTCAGACTGAAACTCAAATACTATTTACCATAACCCAAGATTGAATAAAATCTCTCTGTTCTATACTTTTAAAACTTACTCTTTTTCCTCAATGCACATATCATAATTTTCAACCATATATTTTTAAATCATTTGAATACCTAGTCCACTAGATTCTCAGTTCTGTGACATTTGGGTCCATGTCTGTATCTCTCATCATTATATTCCCCAAAATAATAACAGTATCTATGCTAACAAATATTTATTAAATGAACAAATGACACTATTTCCCATGCTGTGCATAATGCCTATGCTGTCTTTTAATTTGGATTGTTCAAACTGTAGCTTTCTGAATTCTTCCTTAGGCAGAGTTCATCTTATTCCTCTCCTCTTTATCTGTACATTTACTTAATTCCACCATTGCTTAAAATATAATGTATTAAAATCTGATTAGTACAATCAGAGTAAGATCTTGTCAAAGAGAACCATGTGCTGTTCTTCTTTTTCTTTTTTTCTTTTTTCTTTTTTTTTTTTTCCATCCCAATTACTTAGCACAGTCCTTGGTACATAACAGCTTGACTCAATGTTTATACTGATGACCTAGGGGAATGTAAAAACATGCACATAATCAAGCTGGTTGTATTTTAGGTTTTCCAGCAGCTGTGTGGCACATCACTGAGAATCACTTCCTGGTCCTAGAAGTGGTCCTGGGGGTATGACACTGGAGCCTCACATGGTTAATTAGCAACCATTTCCTATTCCACTCACTAGTTGTGTGCTAAAGTGGAATAGAGGAAAAAAAATATATATATATGTACATATATGTATACATATACATACTTTATAAAAATAATTGATTCTGGCTTGATATTGACAGGTAAATTTATATTTTTCCATGGATTATAATTCAGAAACAATATAATCTTTGGTGATTTTCTAGAGTACATTGTGTAAGACGATGTTGAACTAAAACTGAAACTTAGTTATATCTCTCATTAGTTGTGTCTACAGAGAACACTCTCCAAAGACTGTCATTTTTAAGTTTTAAATCCCTTTACAAATAAAGCTACCTCCATGCTTTGGATATTTTATTCAATTGTAATGTCAATAGTCAATGTCACTGTCTATCAAAAAATATTGTTTTAATTTGGTGTACCAAATAGAACAAAGAATTTAAGTATATACACTCATGCTATGTCTTCTTTAATTTACCTGAAGTGCTACTTAATTATATCCAAAGTAGGAGTATTTTTCTTTAAATTAGAGGTAAAATACACTTTTACTGAGATTAGATACAAAGAATGAGAAGAAGGAATTGAAAATGCTTGTTACCTATAAGAAATCCTTTACTTGGTGATATAAACAGACATTTATAGTTGCTGGTTGCGTAAGTACACTCCTGACAATTATCAAGAGTCAAGAGTAACTTGAATTTGAAGAAGCAATAACTTTTGTTAAGATTTTCAGATTGAAAGGTTATATAACTCCTAATTGCAGTTCTCTGCCTAAGTCTATATATGTATTAAAATATATTAATATATTTATAACATAGGACATATATGAAGAAATAATATATGCTATATTTAAGTATATTAATATATTTATGTAATAAAATACATCCATATACTTACATATTAAAATATTATCAATATACTTACATATTATCTCCATATATATCTCCCTGACATTGGTCTCAGTGGTGGGTAACTTGTGGGGCTACATGCTTTTATTATTCACATTTTGTCCATGTACTTATCTGTCCCCGACAAAAAATGTTTTAGCCTCAGTAACCAATTTGGTACAAAGCTGAGTCCTTATATGAACCTCACACAATTCAAAAGCTAAATCACTATAAGTCCTCCCAGATAGGCCATACACTATCTTTTGAATAATGTTGACATGTACAAATTCAGATTTAGGGGCCATCTCTGTAAAATCATCAACTTTGGGCAGGGTAATCTATTACTACCTGAATAAAAGCTGTATCTGTATCTACCTAACCCCAGGATGGTAGACTTTGTGGTTTGCCTCACCACTCTATCAATTCACGCCAGCATGTTAGATCTGGAAATGACAGTATAATCTAGACCCAGGTGAAATGCATACCACACAAATCGGGGGCTTCATCAGAGTTGTCTCCGCAGTCGTCTTCTCCATCACACACCCAGAAATGTAGTTTGCAAAGGGAATTATTGCAGAGAAACTCATCTGATCTACATATATTTCCTCCTTTATTTTCAAACAAAACAGAAAAAGAGACACAGAGATGTAGCATAATTAATTAATGCCAGTCAACAGGACACATATTCCTCTAATTATCTTCGCACAGTACCTAGTTTCTCACTTCCTTATATTTTTTTCCTGTACAATATGAGGGACAAGCAGTATCCAGACTTTTTTTTTTAAGTTAATCATGGTTTATTTTTCAAAACAATCTGATATTACCCAGGTATATCATATTTCCTTTGGAAAATACTGGTAAGATAGTAGAAGAAAGTTTTTTCAAATATAAATTATCTTCCACCTCACAAAATTTTTTATGTTACTGTAAAGAAACTTAGATTTTAAATGGTATTAATTTTCATTATATATATTGTGTTGTTCTGGAAAGAAAAGACACTTGCAAAATTATTAGTTCAATTTGGTTATATCTGGAAACTGACAAACTTAGTTGCTGAAGACAGAATAACCAATAAAAAGCTTTTGCGATCACAGATAATCAGTTAATTTTATACAGAACTAGAAGTTGGTGATGTGGTGAAATATTTCAGTCATACTTATAAAATGTATACAGTAGTGTACCTGATTTTTTGTGTATTTCATAAATGTTTGCTTTTTTCTCTTTTCACAATTAAATGTAAAACATCAAGAATACAAAGATATGCTCACTTAAAATTAAATATATTTATCCTGTGCAAAGGAACCAAAATACTAATCAGCTCTGATTATATGTTTAGATACGTAATAATATATAGTGGAAACTGCAATGGCTGGGGAATTAGGAACTTCCCTTGTGTTGCCTGTCTATTAATTTCTCTGGGACTCAGTGTTTTCCTATGTTATAAGAGAGGCTTGGCTAAAGTAATTTATAAGGTCATATTTACAAGCAGTACCTGGGGAAACAACCCAAAACAACCTGATGGGAATTCAGAATTAAGATAAATAAGATTGCTCTCAGAGAATTTTACTACCTATTTAAACCTCATAAGATAATAAATATGGTTTCCATATTAGATAGATTTGACGATTGAAGGCATTAACATATTTAGAAGTTGACATGTTTATTAAAACATGGGGCTGGAGAGGGATAGTGCTCATCCTTGTGAAACTAGAAAATCCTGGAAGGAAGCATTGTTCATTTTGTGGATGCACTTTAGGGGGAATAATAAGCCTAAACTTACGAGGGTCAAACAGCTCATCTTGTTGGGTTTTGACTTGTATACGAATCTTTAATAATTCCCTGATAGCAGCAAAGACTTAATTTAGCAAATGACAGAATGAAATTTGGATTTTAGCATGATAACACTAGCTAGAATGTGGAGAACTTGGAAATAAAGGTAGCAAGAGTAAAGCCAAGGTTGGAGGAAAAAGACCAATTTGAAGAGAGGTTGTAGCAATGCAGAAGAGAACTGTTGGTACTTGATTTAGAGTAGCTATGTTTGAAAGTGCTTCAGGAGGTAGAATCCTCAGGATCTGATGGCTAAAAAGATGAAGGTGGCAAGGAGAATGAGCAGTCAAACATAGTACTCTACTTTTGGTTTATTTGGACCATTTAGTGAATGTAGGTATTGTCCAAAAATAAAGAAATACAAAAGGAGGAGCAAGCTTAATAGAAATAATTACACAATTCATTTAAGGACTAGTAAGACAATCATGTAGTGATATTTAACAGGATAGTGGATAAATGTGTTTAAAAGATAAGACAAGTTCTGAGCTGTAAATATGTAGCTGGGAATGATCTGAATGTAGTTGTTATTTGAAATTTAGAATGAAACAGAGGAAATCAACATTTAAAGACTGGATAGATAAAGAGGAGTCTGCAAAAGAGACAGAAAAAGTAGCCAGAGTTTTTGGAGAAATACCTGAGAAGTGTTCCAACAAGGAAGTAGTAGTGAGCATATTTATATAATGCTAAAAGAGGAGGTTCAGTGAACTGGTGGTGGATTTATTGATGTGTTTGTAGTTTATTATTATTAGATGAAAAAGTAGTAGTTACTGTAATCATCCATTCCTCTCCAGGAGTTTGGTCTTAAAGGCAAGGAAGAAAGGAGGAAGTTATGTGAATAAAAGAGGCTGGTTCCTTGTATGGAGTAAAACAGATATCCGATATACTTAAGTCCTTCTGAGAATAATTCAGTAGACAGAGTAAGCTTGAAGATACAGAAGAGAGAAAGGGTAATTGATACGATGAATTCTTTGAGAATCCAGAAATTGTGAAGGATTTGAGATTTAAACTAATATAAAAGGATTATGCTTAGATTGGAGGTGAAACAAGTCTCTCATTTCAAGAGGGAGGAATGGGGGAAAGGTTAGGCTAGGCACAGCATTAGGTAGATTTGTTAATTTGGTGACCAGATGTTGAATAAAGCTCAAGATTTTAAACTATTTCTGTGAAGTAAAAGGTGAGGAAGAAATTCAACTTTTTAAAAAACTTGGTAGGGTTAACGGTAGAGAGATGATTAGGGACATAGAGGCCGATGGCTTAGAATCTTTTTTTTTTTTTTTTTTTTTTTTTAGTTAAAGCTGAGGCCAAGATATTGTGATAGCAATCTGAACAGTTCTGAGAGTTTCTGCAAAAACGCTTAACATAACTGGCACATCCTACATTGGCATTTCTGAAGACTAGCAAACTCTAAAATATGGAAAAAGTCAAGTCCGTGGTAAGTCCACCGTGGTGAGTATCACCATGTAAGACTGACAATATAATATCTGGCATTGGGGTGCCCCTTTCTTTCAACTTCTGGAATGGTCAGTTCTAAAATGCCCTAATTCAAAATATAATTTCAATGATCAAAACCCATGCAAGAAAATATATTACCACTTAACAACTCTGTCTGAAAACAATAAAAAGATAACATATATAGCCTTTAGTATTAAAGAAACTTAAGATATGAATATTGATAGGAGGTGAGTGTTTGCTTAATTCATTCAATATCAAAATCCATGGAATATGAAAGTTATATTCTTTCAGAATAAAGATGCTCTCATGACTAAATCTCATTGCATGTTCCATTTTACAATGGATTATATTCAAACAAAATTTGTGAACTCTTGACATCTTCTGACTATTTTAGAAAAGTCTATTTGTAGCACATCAGTCTTGTTGAAAGGAAAATAAAAAATGAGTTCCCAAAGGTATCACATTAGGTAACACAATTTCCCCATAAATGGGCATATTATTTTTTTTATTAAGAAGAGGAGAAATATAAATGAAATCACAATTGTAGAATAAGATAAACATTTTGTGATAACTTACTAAAGGGTTCCTATTGTACCATGAAGGATATGTATTAAAAAAAAAAATGCATCATGGGGCTACCATGACATCGTGAGTCTAACATAAAATGCTTATTTTGAAATGACATGAGGCACACATAACCAACAAAATTCCAGTTTCCTAGTCATTAGTCATGTTCTTAATAAGCTCGACAGAAGATTATTAGAAAAATAGAAAAGTGTGTGTATACATATATAAACAAAAACCTGTATCTGAATATAACTGAACTTTTGGCAGGTTCATAGAAATCTGAACAGGGCATTATCATCAAAATTAAGCATCTAGAGTTCCCATTTTAATTTAGGTAGAGGGAAAGTTTAATATATGATAATGTTTTATAATTTTCATAAATAGTTAACATATTTTTGAGCTGGTGATTACTAAAAAGAATAATTCTCAATCTTGTCCACCAAAATTGCTAAAGAGAATAAAGTTTGGGATCTCAGACCAAAACAAATACCAAGTTTCCTTGAGGCAACATGTTTTAGCTTTGGAAGTATGAATGCTGCTTTTAATTCCACAGTATTTGGGGGTTTGACTTTTTAAAGTAAACTAGTAAAGCTAATTCTCTTAGAAAATGTTCCTGCATCCCTTTTGCCTTCCAACCCCAACCCTTTGTTCATGTGTCCAGATCCGGGATGAATGAAGTGAGATTTGTTTATTCTGGCATTCCTTTTCCTCAAAGCCTTAAAGTACATTTATCCAGTACCTAAACCATTTGTTGGAGGTAAGTGAAATGCTAGAAATCTGAATTCGAGCAAGCCTTAAGGTATATCCTTACAGGATCAAATACTTTAACCACCAAGATAATTCATTGGAATTTACCTGACAGCAAAGAAACCCAAGAAAGTTAGAAACATGAGTATTGATGGAAGGGGAGTTTTGACACATTTGTAAATAATTGAATTAAAGGTCTTCAACTCTTTTTTTAAACAGTAAGCTTAAACTCTTAGTAGAGTTGGTTTAAATCTAAAAAATAACTCAGATTTCAAATGCTATCGTTCAATGCTAATGTTCTTTTTTTTTACTGTAATGTTTGATTTTTAACCTGTAATTCTTTGTTCAAACAAACATTACTTATGAAATTTAATATTTAAAAAATAGATAAATCCTGACAGGACTGCCCTTATACAAACACACATACAGTCACTCACTTTCTAGATACTCCTATGGCTCTTGGAGACATTTCACTGTGGTTGGATCTGATAGTATGAAAAATTAATACAGAAAGGTTTCTAGAAGTAAAACAAGAAACTAGATCTCTTGAATCTCATTTCAATAAATTCTCTGTGCTTTACTTAGTACAAATTCTTTTACCCTTTCTTTTTGAAAAAATATTTGAAGACTCTTTAAAAGCCTTGGAAAACTTCTCATTATGCTTGATATTAAAACCAAATTCTATAGCATTAATTTCCAGTTACTTATAGTTCCTAAACACTTAAAGTTTCTCTCACGTCTGAGACTTTTGTGCATAATGATAACACTGCCTGGAATGCACTTCCTCATTCTGTTTGCATACCTAATTTTTTACATCAAGAAACTCACATTCCAACAGGGGAAATCTAGTCAACTAATACAGAAGCAATTATACTAGAAGGAAAAATACTATAACAGGAATGCAATCAAAGGGTTGCTAGGGAAGCTCCAGAAGAGACAGATTTGGTAGAAGACAGTAGCAACTGAATGGACTTGGAAAGATAGATATAATTTTCATTGGCAAAGGTATCGAGATGGTGGAAATAGCAGAGGAATCAGGACAGACGTTGGAAAACATGGAAAATGTTACTAGATTTATTCTTCAGTTTGGTCTAGGATATATGATATAAAGAGAAGTAATCGAGGATAAGGGTAGGGAGGTAGGGCAGGATCATTTTCTTGTAACCCTGACTGCCATATTTATATATAACCAGAAAGAAAGAGCTTCGAGCTAACGTCGACATAATCAGAGTTACACTTCAATAAGATCAACCTGGCAGCAGTGAGTGGAATGTATTAGAGTCCAATTACATGGCATTACATGAACCCAGGCAAGAAGCAATGAGAGAAAGAGCCAGACTGGTGACAAAGACTGAAATTGAGGGGCTGGAGCTTATTAGCTAGAAAATGGAAAAAGAGGAGTTACTTAATTGTCCTGAAGTCTTAGAATATGATTGTGTTGAAGAGCTTTTGGTGCCAGAGTGTCTACAAAGTTTGCTGTCTCTAAAGTGACCAATTATAGAATGTGAATGTGAGAACTTAACCAAAAGTAGAAACAGCTATTAGGGAAGTACAACCTTTTATGGCTCTATATAATGCACTGCAGATTCCAAATGAGAACTAGGATTTCTTCTGGTGAATATTGCAATACTTTATCAGGTTGGGTCTGGAGATTTTAGGAAATAATAAAGGTTTGATCTAATATTAAAGAAAATGGAGGATATTTTTCTTTGAGTGATTAGATTTTTATAAAAGCAATTTTTTTTTCTTTTTAAAAAGACTTTTAAATGATTTTATTTGTTTATTTATTTGAGAGGCAGATAGAGAGAAAACACAAGCAGGGAGGAGAGGGAGAAGCAGGCTCCTTACTGAGTAGAGAGTCGTAAGAAGCGCTTGTTCTTAGGACCCTGGGTTCATGACCCAAGCCAAAGGCAGATTCTCAAATGACTAAGCCATTGAAGTGCCTCTAAAATTTTTATTCAAATTCCAGTTAGTTAACAGTGTAATATTAATTCGAGATGTACAATATAGTGATTCACCATTTCCATACAACCCCCAGTGCTCATCACAAGTGTACTCCTTAATCCCCATTGCCTATTTCACCCATCCCCTACCTACCCCCCTCTGTAACCATCAGTTTGTTCTCTATAGTTGAGTCCATTTCTTGATTTGCCTCTTTTGTTTTCCCTTTGTTGATTTATTTTGTTTCTTAAATTCCACATATGAGTGAAATCATGTGGTATTTGCCTTTCTCTGACTGACTTATTTCACTTAGCATTATACTCCCTAACTCCATCCATGTGCTTGCAAAGGTATATTGAAACTGTATAAACCCTGAGTACATGTTCAAATGCCCTGCAACATACATCAATAGTTAGCATCATCTCTGTTGATGATATTCCAAAGACTGAAATGCAAAGTCCATTGACTTTTTAAAGCAGCTTAAAAATAATTTTGCATTTAAACAACATATTTAACATTATGAAAATAATAAGAGTTATAGAATTTGTGATCATTTTAAGCTTCACCCACAATTTCTTTGCTTTCATCTCATTAACCTTAAAGTAGTAACAAAGTTGCTTGTAATGTAGTGAATTACAATTAAAAAGTTGTTATTTTTCAGGAAATATTTTCACAAAACTAGAAAATAATGCACTACAAAATTTAAAGCTGACTTCCAGACTGACAAAAAATGTAGATCATTTTCTCAGCCATATGGCAAAAAGGAAATTTGGGGCACAAGCTGCAACCTATGTATGATCTAGCAAATTAGTATGTGTAATATAGTATGCCTTATGTTATTATATTTTCATAGTAAGGCAAGCAATGTGGAAGAGAAATGTATCTTAAAAATAGTTTTGTAGTAACGGCTCTAGCAGTTATGCTCCCTGCATCCTTCTCCTGTCCCTGTTCCTGACCCAGTATCTAATCCAAGGACAGGCTTGGGGTAGAACACATTAAACACTTGCACTTTGGTTGCCTTTGTCATATGTAGCTTGACATTTACTCTGTCTGAAAATTATCCAGATTTTGCTTACTCAGAGCAGGATGTTACATAATGAAACAGGAATGGGTAAAGAGAATCATTTGGTGATTCCATCCTCTGGCCCTAGTGCCCTTTTGATTTTGCACAACATTTTAGCTGTCATTCTCTTATTTCCAGGCAAGTGCACACACACACACACACACACACACACACACACACACACACACAGATACCTTACCTCTGTCACAGTTCTCTTCATCACTGCCATCCACACAGTCATGAATGCCATCACAGAGCCATCTAATTGGAATACAGTGGGCTTTATTTCTGCATCGAAACTGATCTTCCTTACATTCAGTCACACAGTCCATCTGTTCAAATACAAATAAGCACTGCAGTTTTCATTAATGATAATGACATAGTCACAGGCAAAATAAACATGCAGCTGACAATACTGGAGATTTATTACACCGTGGGCTTTCTTTTATTTTGACTTAATGAATATAACCTCTGCAAATGACAATGGGGCTTAGTATATGAACAGCATGCAGACTCAGGATCTGTTGCAATTTCTGTATTGAGTGTACTTGTCCTAACATTTTAGACATTGCTAAGAATCAAGAATCTATCTCTTTACTCTATTTTTATTATGTTTGCTTTCCCGAACCTAATTCATGTAATTCAGAGATTTTAATCAAATGATAGATTTTACCTCATCAGAACCATCAGCACAGTCATATTCTCCATTACATTTCAAAGATGCTGAAATACATCCTCTGCTTGCACATATATATTCACTTGATGAGCAAGTAGGAGAAGCTGAATATAATTATAAAGTTAAGATTTAGATTCGGTAAATTGAATGATTGGTTTCATAGATAAAAATATAAATAAGCATGTAAAAACGCATAGACAGCAATGAAGGTAGTTTATATTATTTAAACTATAGTCCATATCTGATATCAAACATTTATTTAAAATGTGTTTCATAGTATTATCGCATTTCATTAAATATACCTAAAAAAATGATGTAATAACCTGTTCAGTAAGTATTCAACTCACCAGACTAAAGAAAGAAGGAAAAAAATCTATATAGTCTCCACCTCTTTAGTTTTGAAGAGTTAAATGAATTTTCCATAATTTTAAATTAAATTATTTAAAAACAAAGGCCTTAAATTGTTTTTAAAATTGTAAAGGGATTTAGTGACCCTTGGAAATGTTAATTTATATATGCATCATATAAATCTAAAAGTAGAAATCTTGGCATAGTCTCATAGACCCCATGATATCTAGCTGGCTGTGTTGACATAAATGTCATATTTGCATAAGGTCTGAGAAGTACTTTTGTTTTGGGGTCTTAAACATGAATAACGCAAAATTAACTGAGTCTATAGCAACTTTATGACATAGAAAATGAAAATAACAAGTGGATATTTAAATTACTATCAATATTAAATCTAATTAATTGACACAGTAATTATGATTGTTGCCTTTGTCTGCGGGTTTGAATCTGCTAGGCCAGCATTCAACCTCCAGGGTTCTTGGCCTTACAGTGGTCCACTAGGTAGCCAAATGTACTTATATAAGGAGTCTGTGGTCTGAAATGCTTATTTCCAGGATTCTAAAAAGCTTTTTCCTAGAGTTTTAATTCCTTTTAATTGACAGTGTTTGCCTAGGGGTCTGTATTCATATGGAGACTGAGAACTAAATTCAGTAAGAAAAAAGATGCAATCAATTACCAATATGAACCATGTGCATTGTACAGACATATAACAATGCATGTGTCTTGTATCTGCTACTCTCACCTGGGTTCTCAAAGTAATGCTTTGAGAACAGATTATAACATAATTTTCTTCCAGGAATTCTTTTTTCTGTAAGATAATGTTATTAAAATACCTAAGGTATAAAAAATTAAGTTTTAATGAGCATATTTATAAATCCCATACTTAAAGAATAAGAATGTATCATAAATTGGGTATTCTTTTCCTGTACTCTGGTCTTGCTTCCTAATTTTATTTTGATTTTGGACCAAGATGGAAATAGAAATAATACACTTACACATTTTCTCAGTTGGTATCATGTTGAAACTACTAAATTCTGTTTCATAACCTTCAATTCCATAACTGAAAACTTGATTTTCATTGCACTTACAGTTTCAACATATTTCGTTTTGCCATCTTGGAAAAATAATTCCAAATGGTGTGGAAAGAGAGAGAAACCGGAAAATCGAATTTTTAGGAGTTTAATGCTTGGATCCCCAACATAGTAATGATCTTACCTTCAAAAACAGTTTCAAAACATAGCAAGGGCACACCATTGGATCCATCTACAAATATTTCTTTTTTTTATCTACAAATATTTCAAAATTTTATTTCTGAAATAGTAAATGTGTGTGTGTGTGTGTGTGTGTGTGTGTGTGTGTGCATTTGCCATTGTTTTCTGTACATGATTGCCTAAATTGAAATTATACCTACTTAAAATATCAGCTAAACTAACTATCACCTCGGTCATTTTACCTGGCTCGCAGTGTTTCTCATCTTCTCCATATTTACAGTCTTCATGACCATCACATTTCCATTTTGCTGATATACACTGACCGTTGGAACACTGGAACTGATCTTTGGAACAACTTGTCTCACAATTTCTCTGTCAAAATCACACAATGCAGTTAACATAAGCTTTTATTTTTTATTTTTATTTTTATTTTTTTGAAGGGCAGCAAAGCAAAGTTTATTGGGTGATAGTACAAAGCTCCCAAAGAGGGAGGGGGACCCAAGAGGGTTGCTGTTGGAGTTTCTAAGGCTAGGTTTGTTTGTTTTCTTTTTAAATTAACATATAATGTGTAATTTGTTTCAGGGGTACAGGTCTGTGAATGATCAGTCTTACACAACTCACAGCACTCACCATAGCACATACCCAACCCAATGTCCATACTGCAGACACCCTATCCCTCCCTGCCCTCCCCCGACAGAAGCCCTCAGTTTGTTCCTGAGATTAAAAGCATATAACATAAGCTTTTTGACAAACATATACAAGCCCAAAAGACAGCTAGAAACCTTATGAACAGAAACCTAGAAGTGTAGAAACCATGACTACCACATACAAGAAGCTCAGATGGTCATTTAAATCTATGGTTATATATAACAAAAGAATAACAATTTTCTATTTTCATTTGTCTTTGCGAGTCATAATAAAACAGAAAAAGGAGAAAAGGACATAGATCCCATAGTTCTATTATATCAGAGATCATTTTTCAATAGATAGGTATGGGATAATTTAATTTTAAGATAATTATAGGTGACAATTAAGATTGTGGGGGGAAATTAAGTGTTAAAAATTATTTCTAAGCAAGTACAGTCAGTTCATTGCGAATGGAATGACAGGATGAATGTGAAGCAAAGAACCCAAAGGCAAATCTGTTTTGTGTTGGCAGAACTTCCCCACATGTCCTTCCTTTCTCCTTCCCATGCCTTTTCCTCACTACCTGTCCCTTCACAGATTAGTTGCTGCTTATACTCCTTACCGCTCTTCCAACATTTGTTGTTAAAGAACTGTGAAATGAACTGTCACAGTTGTCACTTCTACTAGCTGCATACAGATTTTATTTGGAATTCAAACAAGACGGTAGTAGATATATTTTTGGGTCCCTTTCTTTTTTTTTTTTCATTTTATTTTATTTTATTTCTTTTCAGTGTTCCAAAATTCATTGTTTATGCACGACACCCAGTGCTCCATGCAATATGTGCCCTCCATAATACCCACCACAACTGTAGAAAACAAGGAATATAAATTAAAATTACATGTAATTCAGTTCCAGTAGAAAAGGGATCATGTCTGTATGGATAGGGATCATGTGTGTTTGTGAACCAAATATCTAATACTGTGCCATGATTTAAATAACTGCTTAGGAAGTATTTGTAGAATTAATGATTATCTCAGCACTAAAGGAATTTGAGTAAAATAGTTCTATAACAAATGGCACTGGTATATCTGTATTGTCAACAATATAGAAGATTGCACTTCTAGATACTTTTTCTATCAGAAGATTTCAATCTAAAACAAATTACAGTATTGTTGATGAGTGTGTGTGTGTCTCTATTTGCAGGTTATTTAATTATCATTTTAGATTCTTAAAAGCATACAGAAAGAAATAGAATAATGAACCTCATGGGCCCATGCTGCTTGTTGAACAATGATCGACACTTCACTATTCATGTTTCATATATCCTCCTCCACCACATTTATTTATAGTCTGGATTACTTAACACAATAACGATAGTATTAGAACATTAATAATATCACAAAATTTGCAAAAATTCCTTAGTATAAAGTCATTCCCGATCAATATCCAAAATATTCTCATTTTTTAAACTACATTAAGATAGTTTGGTACAATAAAGATCTAAAAGAAGTTTACACTTTGAATTTGGCCTGAGTTTCTTTAAATGAATGACTATTTCCCATTCTCCTAGGTTTTTTGTTTGTTGGCTAGTTTGTTTGTTCGTTTGTTTGAATGCCATTTACTATTTGAAGGCACTAGGTTATTTGTTCTGTTGAATGCCTCCGGTTCTGAATTTGGCTGATTGAATCCTAAAAAAGATACTTTGGTGACATCTAAAGTGACTAATGAGATTTTTGTTTTTTAAAAGTAGTATTATAAACACATGTATTTTTATACATGTATTCTATTTCTATCCATTACAGTCCCTTTTTTCCCCCTGGTATTCAAGTTGTCCCTTTGATTAGCAGAAAATCCCTTCACTTAGCTCCTATGTATTCTGGACGTTATAGTAATGGTCCTGACCTGGCTTAACAAGATGTTAGTGGCTCGTTTTGTCAATTTCTTTTTTCAGATCTAGAACTGGACATTTCTCAAAGGAGTTTTGTCTCCTTTAATTGGAAAATGGTATTTAGAGGCCCCTATGTGAATGTTAGGGTCAATCTATAATACTGAGATGTCATCAGTTTAGCTAGGAATTACATATTTTTAGAAAGAGTAAGATAAATCAAAATCTCTTACTGATACGTGTGAATTTAATATTACAGAATTTTTATTTACTTTTTTTGTTCCTACATTGGTATCTCCTTTCTTTTACTTAAAAATTCTGAGTGCGAATAATATGAAAACAACTAAGCATTTGATCTATCCTATTCTCAATATATGCAAGCTTCAAACTAGCGAAAACAATATTATTACCAAATATATGAACACAGTTTAAGATTCATTTGCATTTTTTGTCCACACAATGCAATATACTTAATGCAGAGGCTAAATACTGTATTTTAAAGTCACTTTAAATAATTTTTTTCTGCTATTAATGTGATACACAATGACATTGATCCAAGTTATTATTATTGTTTAGCTGGATATGAACAAGCTAATTACATTATCAGTTAGCATCCTTATAAAACCTCACAATTTTATCTTTTGTTTCTAAGATGAGAGTATCCTGTGTGTAATTTGGCTTTCTAGCCATTTGTTCAGTTCACTTTTTTTTTTTTTAAAGATTTTATTTATTTATTTGACAGACAGAGATCACAAGTAGGCAGAGAGGCAGGCAGAGAGAGAGGGAAGCAGGCTCCCTGCTGAGCAGAGAGCCCGACACTGGGCTCAATCCCAGGACCCTGGGATCAGGACCTGAGCCGAAGGCAGAGGCTTAACCCACTGAACCACCCAGAACTCCTGTTCAGTTCACTGTTTTGTTTGCTTCTTTGTTTGTCAATGTAATCTGGCATTCTAAACCTTAAAAAGAAAAGAGGAATCAACTGCCTGTAGCGTTACACACTTCACACTAAATGGCTGTGAACGTAGAGGAAGACCACCTTTAAGACTGGGTTCAGTGCATAAACAATGAATCTTGGAAAACTGAAAAAATAAAGTTAAATTAAAAAAATTAAAAAAATTAAATAAAAGAAAAAGAACGTAATTTAGATTCTCTAGGGGCATATCATGAAAATGTCTGAGTAATGGATTTCTAGTCAGCCATCAAGGAACTGCATAACTTCCATTAACTTAGGGCATGAGATAAATGTGTTAATAAGACTATCTAATCTACTTTCATTTGAATTAAGATTTTGAAAAAGAAGTGTTTGAGTCTGTTTACGTACCTTGGATATCTAGTGAATAACATGGAAGATGAAATCATAAGCCTTAAGCAGTATATTTTTACCTCTTGAGGTTTCAGGGATTACACGGGGTAGGTGAAACAAACTTCCATGGTATGTATGAGTTTATGTGAAAAGTGTTTCATTGGGTAACATTTAAGATAATTCTTGAATAAATGGATACTAAGTAAATATGTAGCTGGGCAATGTAAGAGTTTAGCTCCCCTATGATTTTTTTTTTTTATTTTGTTTTGACTTGTTTGTGAACAGCCCCATGAATATAAGTGGTATTTTTCAATTTCTCCTGAGAGACCTTAGCAACCCCCAAGAATTAGGTTTTCTGGCCTTTACGTGAGAAGTTAAAAACATTTGTTTCCAAAATCTAGGCTCCTGAATGTGACTGGGGAATTTTCTAACACAGTGTTAGAATGGAGAAGTGTCCAATCTTAATAAGGATACCTGAAGACTGGGAAAGAACCAGTCTGCATGGGTTCTATAAATAGTAGAGACTTACAATGTCTGCCAAAGATGCAGAAAATCAGTGGATGAGTAAGGAAGTTTGACCTGAAACACAGAAACCTCTAGAATAGCAGAGTAGATTCTCTCTAGGCAAACCTAGAGTCAATGGGATGACCTTCACGAGGGGAAAGTTCATATGTGAGACCTTCCAGAGCAGCAGAACTCTCAAAATTCATTGTACCCTAGAATGAACCATGGTGGCCACTGAGGACCAGACACTTCATTTTTCATTTATCTCTGAGTAGCACTGATTTCACCAGTGCTGTGTTCCTGATATTAATATGGAAAATCATTAACAGAGAAAATCATGAATAGTGATTATTACTGGACCTTTCTCTATTTGAAAGTAAAGGATGACAATTCACTTTAGATTTAATTGATAAAAAGATATTAACTGTGTATCATATACTTTTTAAAAAAGATTTATGGCGTAATTAACAGTTGAGACACAAATACATAGAGGCATAAATAATAAATTGTGTGAAACATTATAAGTGTTAACACAGTCTAAGTTTCCAGAATCATCCAGAAATATTCCAGAGTTTTTCACATTGACCTTATTATAAATGGGTTGTGATTCATCATCTAAGCAAAGCTGAACCTGTGGTTTCATGAAAATTGATGACCCACATCGAAGTCTATAAGAGTGTATCTATTGAGGAAAGAGACTGGGGAGAAGAAACTGTTTAAAATGCATAAAAATATTAGTCCTGACTATAAATATTACAGCAAATTTATTAACAAATTCACAGATGGCAAAGGCACCAGCTGTAGGGAATAAGGTTTCCAAATATCTTATTCCCAACCCAGCCATTCACCACTTGAGGTAAAACGGATTATAAAATTAACTGTCAATAGTAGCACAAGAGCTATTCCCTGCGCTGGTGTGTGCCACACAGCGCTTAGATATAATACTACTTATCTCATTGTGTCAGGAGTAAAGTGCATTTCAGAACTGTCCATGTCACACCTCACTGGATTGAATAATAATAATTATAAATGTGACTCTAAAGAACTATCTTTTTTGTTTGGCTTGGCAAAGTGGCTTACCTCGTCAGAGCCATCTGCACAGTCAAAATCTCCATCACACCAGAACCTTGAAGAAACGCAGTCCCCATTGGCACAGAGAAAATCTTTCAGTGTGCAGGTCTGTGGCTCTGGGGACACAAAAAAAAATAGCACAGGTTTATTCTATTATATGTAAATGCATTCTAAATTTATATGACATATAGTATGAGGTAGCATTAAGAAAAAAGAGGTTAGCCAAGCAGAATCAATAAATTGTTTAGAAAAAAAGTGTTTCATGAAGCATCTTTGGGACATAATATAATGATTTTTCACATTTATTTTAAAGTCATGAATAGAAAGTGGTATTTCAGAAAAAAAAAGTATAAAAGACAACAGATAGCCCACTGTTTAGTAAAAATGTAACATCAAAGTAAAATAAAAGACACAGAAATCTACATATTACATAATAACAAATCTTTTCCAGCTGTTGGAATTCTGTCATTTTATGTATTTAGTTTAAGTAAGTAAGATGGTTTGTGACTGTACTCATGGGGCTGTTTACTAATTGAGTAGTAAGTCCAGTCTTTGACTCTTGACTTCTATTTTGCATTCTAATGACTTCCTAATTCGTCAATTTTGTCTCCAGAAAATCTCGAGTTCATTAAAAAAAGAAGGGCACATGGCGATATTATTGGACATGACTGGGTGGGTAAGAGTGGAAGGGACAGAAGGAGGCTCTTTTTAAAAACTGCCTCTTTATGCAATGTTTTGCTGATGTTCTGTATAATTTACCTGCCATTTTAGATAATTTGCCAGTTATTGATTTAATTATGATTCACCATCTTACACACAGGATATAAGCCAAAGAGTATGACTTGCTACTTGGCTTACCTCTGATTGGAGTATGTTTCCTCTGAACAATGAAATAGGATTTTAGGAATTTTTCCCTGTAGGACCGCTAGAGATCATCTCTTATTTAGTTCTTGTTCTCTAAATAGAACTGATATCTGGCATGAGGGAAGACCCCTTTTTGTTTTCTCTACTCATTAACTGTATTTACAGCCGCCTCACACACAATGATACTCTTACTCAAGTGAAGTAGGAATAACAGACATTTAATTTAAGGAGTATCCACACGAAGCCCCATTTTCTGCATAAAGATTGTGGCTCTTTTAGCCTGCATTTGAATATTGCTCTACACAATCACTCAGTTTCTAGCTGTCAGGTAACGGCATCGATGTTTGGTATCATGAAGGCTCTTATATTTCCAGAGAAAAATCCCTCCTGAGACCAGTGTAATATGGAAAGTGTAATATGTATCAGCATTTTGTTCTGCTTTGGGACTTACCTTCGTCTACAGTGTGACATTCAGTCTATGAATAAGACAAAATGCTACTCAGTGGGATGAGAAAAAGCCACTTAACAGGAGGATCCCCCTCATTTCTCAACATTCCTTTGTTTATTGAGCATGACGACTACCCTTTCTCCTTTTGTCTTTGCATTATATGTACATACACCACATTTTAATCTTAAAAAACAACGGTATAAATACTAATATCACTACTTAACAATAATAATTCCTACCAACTAGTGATTGCGTATTTGTTGTGAAGCACTAGATGAAGTTAATGCTAAGCACAGGAATTAACTCAACAATTAATCCTAACAACTGTATGAGGTAGGTACTATTATAGGACCCTTTCGTCAATGAGTAAACTGAAGCACAGAGAGCATAAAGAACTTTCTCCCAATCACCTTGTAGGCAGAAGAGCTAGTATTGAACTTGAACCTATGCAATCTGATATTAGGGCCTATACTATTTACTACTAGGCCGTATCATTGCCCCCCATACTACAGAGGAAATAAGGTGTTCACATATTACAGAGATTAACAATAAAGCCCTGAGATCAAGTTACTTTTTGAAGGTACATGGCTAGCAATGTCTAGTTCATTAAAAATAAAAATTAAAAAAGTAAAAAATTCGTCTTATCATTCCTCCATATGAAGCCATTTCACCCTCCTGTTTGCAGACATGCAGTTTTCTTCTTAGGGAAAACAAATTATAGTGAAATTAATAAATTAATTAATAAAGAAGTGCTTAATCTATTTAATAGTGGTAAATAGCAATCAAAATGATTTTCATTAAAGAATTAGAGAGTATTTTTTAAACACATTGTATTTAAATGTTTACAAGTAACAGCAGTAGAAATATTAAATTTCATGGAGTTGGAGGTATTTGGATGGGATTTTTTTTCCTTTAATATTTTAACTTGACTTTATCTTAAACACAAGTGTGTTCATCATATGCCAAACAACAATGACTTCACAAACTTTGACACACTTTGCTATAGGAAGGGTTGAAGGTTGTTGATCTAAGATGATAACAAGTTATGTTATAAAGTATTTCAAAGCATTTGACCAATAATTCCACAGAACGGTTGTTCTATAGAGACTTTGTTAACATCATTAATTACTCTATTCTGATATGGGCACAGAGGAACTGAGTGATTTGTTGAAAAAAGTTTTTTTAGTGCATATGAAATTCTGTAAGTTTCTAGCATGCTTTTAGGAATGCCAGCAAAACCACTTGTCAATAATAATCATGAATTATTTATGCATAAGTGTCATCAAGGAATGGGATAGCTATAGCTAGTCTGTTTTTAACTCTCATCTATATGCCTCAGAATCTTTTGCCACTGGGTATCTCAAAAGGAAACTCTCTCTTGAGGAAAAGGTAATTTAGTTATGAAAGAAGGTCCTGAGGGATTATATTCTCTTATTGTTTCTTACCTTTGATCTTTTTTGGATAAAGTATAAGACAAATTTTAGATCTTGGAATGATAGTTAGCATTTTTCTTGTTAAAAACAAAATTAACAAAATGATTTTATCTGGAAGATAACCCATTTGGAAAGAATACTTGGGTGTGAAAACTTCCCCAGTATTTCCAAAATGTGTTTCTCACATTAACTTTCTCTGATACTACCTATATCCCCAGATCTAAAGTGGATAGGGAACCTCACGCATGAGTAATTGACCAGGTTTCCATAAATCTTATCTAAACATGCCAAATTAAAAAAAGAAGCCTTTGGAAGGTCGACCTGGATTCTATAGTAAGAATAAAAAATAGGGACATTGTATGGAAAAGTCACTTTCCTCAATACTAAAGGAGGCAAAAACATATAGGCTCAGAACTGAAAAGAGCTTTGGAAGCTATCTTGCACAAAATTGAAGAAACTAAGTTTAGAAAATAAAAGTGACTTTCAAAGCCACAGAGTTAGTGGCAGAGCAGAAAGGCTTCCAGACTTTAATTTCTCTGCTGAGTATATTATCATAAACCCTTGGTGATAAGTTCAAAAGTTATATGAATGTGGGTGTAAGCATCTGAGGAGAATTTTTAGAGTACAATTAGTATAACTGACATGCTATACAAATAATCTTCTGATATAAATTCAGTGTGAAAGTACTAGAAATTCAAATAAGGCAGACACAGCTTGTCTCTCTACAAAAACCTTAATCTGGTTGATCAAGTTATTTGGTGTTTTTAAATCTATTGGATTGTTAGTTACTTCTTAATAATGCAAAGATGTAAAATAATTTATTTTGCACATCAATTACTTAGAGGGCATACATGCCATATATATTGTATTTGTTGCTGATAAAGATAGTATAGATGATAGATTCGTCAGATATTTCCAAACCTTTGATACAGATGACAAAATAACTTCAATAATAAAAAAAATTTCTTGTTTTTAAGAGCCTAAATCATTGTTGGAGCACAGTGTCCCTGCTGAACACTTAACAAGGGAAATCATCAGCAGATGATGAAAAAATGACAATGGACTAATTATCCCATATAAATATAAAAAAGTAGAAAGCATAATGGATTTAAAACATCATTGTAGTTAATTGCTCCACTATGATTCAGATTCTTCCAATATCTATGGCTGGAGTATTTCCAACACAATTTAAAGAATAAGCTCATTATATCAGATTCATAAACAAGTAAGTCCAAAAGTGATTTTAACAATACATTGCTAATATTATAAATGTGTCAGGCCCTGTGCTGGACCTTGAGAAATAGCCCTGCTCCATACACTATTTCCAGATATTTAAATAGGAACTAAGATACATGCAAAAAAGAAATGAGTGGTATAATGGAATGCAGGGGAGTGGTTGGTTGACAGAATATGGTCAAATTTTAAAAAAAGATGCTGTTGTTGTTTTTAACTCTAAGGCTAATTGATTATCTCTGCTATACTTCTCTATATAATATTTTCCAACAATAACCACCAAATGTGAACCAAAATGCACAAAATTGACTAATGATATTTAGAAAATGTGTAACAGTATACTGTTATCATTTTTGGTATACTGTTATCATCTATATACATATTAAAATTAAATTTATATATGTGATGTGTTATATAGAGAGTTGTGATCACAATATGTAAATAGTAATTTATATGTATATATAATAATTTTATTATAATTATATACATGAAATTATAATAGTTTCAATAGATAATGAGAAATTGCAAATATCTTGATAGCATTTTATATGGGAGCAGTATCTTTTCTAAAGCTGACTTCCATATAACCAATTTCTAGGTGTTTATATAGCTATTATGTATTATTTTCTCTTTCTTCATTGACCGAGCTTCTGTCCATGTAGAACTCCTAGTATTTTCAATGTTTGAACATTATCATTTCTTTGGGTCTATTCATATGCTATCTTCAAACACCACCCAGTTATCTAGATCCCTCAGTCCTTCCTCTTACACACTCTTACACGTTTACCATGTAACCAGTTCTCTGATACTGGTCCTGTGTATGTCCTCTATCCTACCATGTCTCAACTATAACATGCTTCCTTCTTGTTCACTGTCATTAGTCCCCTGCAAATTCATCAATGTTGCTGTCTTACACCACATGATCAGAATGAATGGGAACTAAAATTGAGTCACACATAATTGGGTATTTTATACTGCAATGCTTGGTATTGTAGCCACTCTCTTGCTTTAAGGGTTCTGTGGCTACAGTGATTTATCACTAACTTTTTCCAGTGACAAGTGAGAGGCATGTTCCTTCTTGTGCTCTTGCTTAAAAAAACGACTTTTAGGAGTTGCCAGCAAAACCATTCTCAACCACCTAGGAAACACCAGCAGACTCAGAAACAGGTTATTTCCACCCCTCATTCTTCTTCCCTTTCTTCTCCAGTTTAGCAGTAACCTAACTTCTCACACAATTTCAACCACACCTTGAACAAAGTATTTTCAAAGATGTAAGTTCCAATGTGAACTTCTCACTTCCCCTCTCCTGTTCTCAACATCCTTCAATCTTAAGACACTTCTTCTCAGGTGTCTTATTGACAAGTAACACTCAAGGTATCTAAAATTAAGCTAAATAGTTTTCTGTATATTTAAGCACCGAAACAGAAGTCAATTAAACAGAAAGAGTGTATATAATTGCTTCATTTTTGTATTTGATCTTCTATTCCTGCCATTCTTACCTCATTAGGTTTTTATTTTAATCACTGGATAGAATCTGAAAACCTGCTTTAAAAAAGAATCTGGAACACTCTAATGACTCTTTGAGATATGTGTGTATATATATATATATATATATATATATATATACACACACATACATATATATGTATTTTTTTAAAGATTTTATTTATTTGAGAGAGAGATAGAGACAGTGAGAGAAGGAACACAAGCAGGGGGAGTGGGCCTCCCACTGAGCAGGGAGCCTGATGCAGGGCTCAATCCCAGGACCCTGGGATCATGACCTGAGCTGAAGGCAGATGCTTAAAGACTGAGCCACCCAGGCACCCCTCTTTGCAATATTTTTTACCTTTTTGAAGAGTAAGATCAGTTGAGATATCTATATGTGAAGGAGTAATAAAAGGTCCCCAAATCAGAGTATTCTATAATCCTAATGATCCAGAGATTTCATACTTAATGTGCCTGATGCTCAAAGACCAGTCAGATTAAGTTTCAAAAGTTATTTTAAAAAAATTTGATAATTTGCAAACTGAATATCCAAGTGGTTTATTAAGGCTGTGACTCTACTAATTACATGCTTTCGTAGAAAATGTTCCTATGTTTTAACATAACAATATCTATTTCAACTCCTGTGTCTTGGGAAATGAATACTCTTAGTCCAATGTGTAAGAGTAGACACTATAGTTATCATCGAATCCTTTTTGGAAGTAAGCAGAATATAAATTTTTAATAAATGGAATTTGATTATTATCTTATTTTAAAACATGACTATATTGCTTTCTTTGTATAAACAGCACTGTGAGAAAGTGCTGGTAGGAAATATATTCAGAAATTAATGCTAGAATATAAAGATGTTGTCACAATTTTACATACTGCCATACTTTTTAGAAAATAAAATTGTTGGACAATTATTGTCTTTTAAATTTATTACATAAAAATGCAGGAGGCAGATGATGATAATAGTGTTATTCTATTTTCAGAGAAAAGCCTCCTGAATACATATGGTGTTCACCACTCCAGAGAGAATAAAAGATATTTCGCTGAAAGATGCTTATGGGTAAATTTGTAGTGTAAAAGGATTTGAGACTGAAATGAAATGAATACCATCCGCTAAAGAATGATATGTTTTGTTCTGTCTCCACATCATTCAGCCCTTTGTATGAACTTGCATCAAGGGCTCACTTCATTGCATGCTAATGGGTTGCATTAAACCTCATGATACTTTTATACCAATTCTGATAACTATAAGAAAATAACTCCCAGTATGTGCATTTCAATAATTCTACCATTTGAGATTCAGGTCAATTTAGTCTGGATATTCTTGCCCAAATGTGAATATATGTATAAAAATGTGAGCTGCAGGACAGATAGGTTCAAATTCATAACTTAACTGAACTAAAAATTGCTATACTGCTTATTGAATATGCTGTCAAGCTCGCAGTGTTCTCAAGCGAGAGTTACTTACTACAGTTTTCTTCATCTGAATTATCACTGCAGTCATTTTGGCTATCACACCGCCAGTGATCTGGAATACAGTTGTTGTTTCTACACTGGAATTCATGAGGCCCACAAGTCTTTTTATCTGTAAGAGAAAGAGCCAGAGATTGTGTTGTTGACTTCCATGAAGTCACTGCCATGCCAAATCCAGGGTATATGACATTACCTCAGAGCTTAATTCAGTTACTAACTGAGAAGCATCTTTAAGAAAAGCCGAAGGCAAGTGCTAAATAAAATTCATGCTAATGTCTTGTTTTATGTTGTTTTCTAGTCTTGCTTTCATCACTAGCTAATTACAAAGCAACTGATTGGCCCACCCATATAAAGTCAACACAAATCAATAAAAAAAATCAAAACTATTAAGAACTAACATTCTCTTTAGCACTCCCTCCCTAAGCCATCTTCTATTTCTTCTGTAAGGCAGCAGAAAGAAATGGTTATTAGTCAGAACCTGAGATTGTCATCTTACCTTTCTCCCTACCTATCAACTGATATAAACTCAGAGAGTATAATAAAATCTAACGTGTACAGACCTTGAAAAATAATAAAGTGCCATCTCACTTGAACTCCTTAATAATCCCACTGGGTGCAAGGACTGGATTTAACTAGCCTTTCACTTTACAGATGATGAAAGACAGAGTTTAGAAGCTTGATGAATTTTTACTATTATTAAATGGCATAGTCAATATATATATTTGTGTGTTTTTACTCTTGCTTTAGTATTCTTTACAACATAATCTGTGTCCATAATGGAGCCAGAATCAGAATGCATGCAATAAGAATTTATTTAAAGTTAGATTACTCATTCTTAAATTTCTATAAGAGTAATAGCTAACTGTATATAGTCTAAAGCACTGCATCTTAAACTTCAATGTACATATATATAAATTACTTGGGAATTTTGCTAAAATGAAGACAGTGATTGAGTAGATCTGGATTTCTAAGAAGCTCTCAAGTGATGACATTCTCCTTAGGTCTACGAAATATACTGAGTAGCAAGGGCCTGAAACATATAGATGGGATAAATTCAATAATATAATGATAATAAAATTATAAATGTCAACGTATAATTTAGGACACATTCTCCTTTCATATACTTAGATCGACTCTATATTCTCACCTGTATTAGAGATCTACACTGAGTTTTACAACTCAGACTAGTAAAATAAATTAATTAAAGGAGAAGATAAGCTATTTGTTACTAGTTGGTACTCTTTAAAATGTGTCTTATAAAATTCAAACAAATAAGATTATGAAAGCAAAAATGATTTAGATATAATTAGAAAACTAAATAATGAACATCTATCGAGGATCCAACCCACCTCTTGGTAAGCATTTTCATAAACATGATCATATTCAATTCTCATAACATCCCTCAGAAGTATTGTTATATGCATTTAAATGAATGAGAAAATAACTCTCAAAGAGTTTAAGTAATTTCTCCAATATTACAAAAGGTATTAAGTGGCAATGGAGAAGTTTATATCCAGATCTTACTCCAAAAAATTTTAATATTTCTGTGAAAATTCTCGAGACAGAATTCAAATTTTTCAAACTTGTCAAATTTGTCTACAGATAGATAGATATCTTTATATATGTCTGTATATAAAAAGCCTGTCTGTCCCTTTCTTCTTCCCTACCTTTCTTCATTGCAGCCTACCTGCCTGCTAATGATTACTCAGATCCCAACTTCTGTCACACAGTGCTGTGTTTGGTGATATATCCTTTTTGCCTATGTTATACCTAAATTTAGTTTTAAAAGTTGGCTTAAAATTTGTAGATGTTCTAACATAACATTTGGCACATTTCACTCAATCAAGAATTGTATTAGGATGATTAGAAACTTAATGACCATTGAAAATACCAGGTTTGGGGTTTGGTACTGAACTTTATAGATGGTCGTTATATTGTGGCATTTAAAACAAAATTCTCTGAGACCACTATTCTATGTTTGTTTAACATGGCTTTATTTATTCTTTCTGTGTTGCTTGCATTATTTTTTAAGTATTATTTTAAAATTTTAGAATATAAGAAAGTCAGAAAGATCAGACCTGAGCATACAAATAGACTATAGACCTAGTATTACAACATTAGCTCCAAGCAATTTCCCATGGATACAAAGTATCAAAGCAACAAGTATTTTTGAGGTGTTTTTTTTTTTCCTGCATCCTATTTGTACTTTTTTTCCTACTATGTTAAATATTTGTATCATATTTTGTGTTTGAAAGAGATCTGCATTTCTTTCTTTTCTTTTTTTTTTTTAAGATTTTATTTATTTATTTGACAGACAGAGATCACAAGTAGGCAGAGAGGCAAGCAGAGAGAGAGAGGGGAAAGCAGGCTCCCTGCCAAGCAGAGAGCCTGATGTGGGGCTCAATCCCAGGACCCTGAGATCATGACCTGAGCTGAAGGCAGAGGCTTAACCCACTGAGCCACTCAGGCGCCCCTGCATTTATTTCTTGACAAAAATAAGTTACAGTTCATTGCGAAGATTTCCATTTGGGGCATGCAAAAACAGTAACATTGAAAGGCTAATTGCCTTATGCAAGGTTATTCAAATTTTATGTTTCCAAATTATTTAACTTTTTGATCCATGACATTGTTTATACAAATTACAAATGCAAACTATACAATCCGTATAGCCTTGTTCTGTATTTAAAGTCTTCCTTGAGGAGATTAATGCAAATATAAATGTAAGTATATTTTTAATAGGAAAATGTATGATCAAGTTAAAGCAGCAGTTCTCAAATTGGCTACACATGAAAATCACCTAGTAAACTTAAAAATCCCTTTTACCAGTCAATATCCCACATCAATAAAGTCAGACTCTCTAGGGTGTAACCTAGACATCGGTATTTTTATGAAAACTTTATGGCTGATTCCAAAGAACAGCCAAGATTGAAAATCACTGGCCAAAAAAACTGACTGAAGAACAGAACATATATAATTCCACATTATAATACTCTGCAGTAATTAATATAAAATGTTCACAATATGAAGTTTTCTATTTATTCAAATTATTATATAGCTTTGGAACAATGTGTTATTTTTGGAGGGTATTATAAATATAGAGAAAACAAATGAGTATCTGAAAACTTGTATTTTTTTTTAATTTAAAATATTTTCACATGAATTACAGATACTACTAAAAATTTGATCCTTCCAGGGGGACTACCAAAATGTAGAACTGTATATGGTGTATACTGAGATACTACTGGCACTTATATACGTAAGGGTGACTTCTGAAAAAAAAAAAAAAATCTGGTGTCTGTGATGGTTTTTGAGCCAGAACTGAGGAAGTGGATTGGGATACAGGAGTGGAAGATAAATTTAAGTTTCTCATTGTGCCAAAAGAAATCCAAAGGAATGTACAAACTACTGGAAGCAATAAGTGAATTTGGTAAGGCTACAGGATACAAGGACTATATATATATATATATATATATATATATATATATATATATAATTATATTTCTCTATATTAGGAATAACCAGAAATGAAATTTGAAAAAAAAGAAAACTTTTACAATAAAATAACAAATACCTAAGAATAAAACTAGTGAAAGTTGTGTAATATCTTCATACTGAAAAGTGTAAAACACTGAGAAACTGTAAAACACTGAGAAAAATTGAATAATGCTTAAGAAAGTGCAAAAATATATCATGCCCATAGATTAGAATACTTGAAATTTTTAAAATTTTCAAATTAATATAAAGAATTAATTCAATCTCTATCAAAATTCTAACTTGTTATTTTTAAAGAAATAGATTATCCTAAAATTATACTGAACTGTAAAGGATTTAGAATAATAAACCAATACTGAAAAAGAGGAAAAAGTTGGAAAATTTACAATATCTGATTTCAAGAGTTTCTATAAAGCTATAGTAATTGAGAAAATGTAGTAGTAAGCAAAATGAAACCAGAAATATAAGCAAACATATGTGGTCATTTTCAACAAGGACTCAAGTCAATTTAATGGACCAAAAAAAGTCCTTTTTAGTGAATATTGATGAAAAAAGTGGCTAGCCATAAGAAAAACACAAATCTCAACCCATCATACTCCATACAAAAAATTAATCTGAGGTGATCATAAACATAATGAACATGGAAAAATATTTTCATAATCTTGGAGTAGGCAAATATTTCTTGGGCAGAACACAAAAAGAATTAATAATACAAAGAAAGTTGGTACATTTGACTTCAGAAAATTAAAAAGTTTTATTCTTTAAAAGATATCATTAAGAAAATGAATAGGCAAGCAACATATTAAAAAATATTTTCATACAATATATCTGGGAAATTACTTCGGTCCAGAATATATAGAAATTCTCATATCTTATACATTAACAGACAAAAGACTTGAAAAGATACTTCACCAAATAAAAGATATTTGAATGCCAAATATAGGTTCTCAAAATCATCAGTCATGAATGTGGTGCAAATTCAAACCAGGAGATACCACTAAATACTTAGTGAAATTGCTCAAATCAAAAAGGCCACACTAAAGTTTCATGAGAATACAGAGGACTTGAAACTCTCTCTTCTGGTTCTTAAAAGGTAAACATATAATTACCCTATAACCCAGCAATTTTACATCTAGGTGTTCATGAAAAACGAAAACAAACATTCACAAAATAAATTCGTACAAGAAGAATAAGTTCGTAACAGCAGCCTTATTTGTAGTAATCCGCATCTAAGATATTCCAAGTGAGAATATATCCATGTGACTGAAAACTACTCAGATACAAAACAATAATGAATTCTTGAGATATAACTTAGAAATGTTTTTAAAACTTCATGCAAATGAAAAATTCACAGGCAAAATTGTAAATACTAAATGCATTTATGTATATGACATCCAAATACAAGCAAAACTAATCTGTGGTGTTGGAGAGGAATTGGAGGTTGTAAAGGGGAATGTTAGGGGAATTGACTAAAAGGGGCATGAAGGAACTTTCTAGGGGGATGGAAGTGTTCTGGATCTTATTTTGGTATTTGTTGAATGCTGAATAAAATTGCCAAAATTAAAGTGAACATTTTAGATCTGAGCATATAATTTTAATTATATTTTAATTAAAAATTAC